CCATCCATCCATCCATCCATCCAGAGGGCTCACTATGCCCTCACTGGTAGAGGCACCTTCACACCCGCACTGGCGCCCCCACCAGCACCCCTGTCCAGCAGCTGCAGCTGTGAGCAGGCCCGCGCCCCACCTCCAGCAACTGACCACACAGACATATTAATGTCCTGGTGGTGCTGTTGTGGTGGAGGTTGTAATGGGGACGCACTCGCGGCAGCAACAGCTTGGCTGTCGCCAGCAGCAGAATGGCGGCCCGATTGCCTTGTCGTCCCCAGTAGAGGATCGCTCAGCAGGGCCGCCGAGCAAGGGTGAATTCGATCATCATCGCCACCGTCAGCATCGCTGACACCAAGAACGACACTTTCACCAGCAGACTCTCCACTGTCATAGCCACCTCTACTCGCCGCGCCCTCTGACTCCGCCTCATCATCACGCAGCGGCCGAATGTCGATTTCCTGCAGCGCAACCGCGCTGCTGCCGTCGGTGCGCCGTGTTTGCATTTCCTCATCGGATTGTGCGGATGGGGATCGGTGGAATGCGGGCGACATTGGGATGGTCGTGGCCATGGCCGGCTCTGGGGGGTGGGTGCGGGCGGCCCTGTTGCTCACGAAGCTGAGGTAGCAGTTCCACACGATGGTAAAGATGTTGATGAAGAAGACGCGATACGCCAGAGGGATCACAGCAAAGTTTATCAGATTCACCTGTGTGTAGGTGTGACACACCACACAACACACCCAACACACACACATGAATGAGCAGAGCAGACGGGCATCGTGTGTCGGGCTGTGAGCGTCTGTCTGTCTCGTGTTCTCACCCACCAGTGGCCACATCTTGAACCCCATGAGTGTGATAGGCAGGAAGTCCTTGTTGAGTTTGCGGCGCACCCTGGACCACTCGAGCGTGGCGAGGTAGGTGATGTAGACGATGAAGATGCAGTTCATGGGCGGAGTGAATAGCAGCTGGTCCAGACACACCGACTCGAACACCGCGAGGGCCGTCCTGGACCCCACGCCCGACTCTATAACCTGGTACTTGGCGTGATTCATCACACCTACACACAGCACCAACACGACACCATAGCCATCCAATGAATGGAATGAGTCGCCCCTCGGTCGGTTGTCTCCTGCCTGAGTCTGCACGCACCTGCGGCCAGCCCCCAGCTGCTGAACCGGACTGCTCTTCGCCAGTCGTATGGCGGCCTCCACCCAGGTCTATCGCCACCCCGCCCGCCAGTGCCAGGCGCCACCTCAAACCGCGACGGGGCCGATGTAGGGGAGGGGGCCGACGTTGCCGACAACGCACCCGATGGCGGCTCTGCTGTGCTGCTGGCAATGCTCGACAGGCTAACGACGATGGTGAGGCGGCCCTTGGCGGGCTCGCTCTTGGCGTGGGGCACCGCACCCATATCGCCCGTCTTGACCGTCGCCTCTGGCGGCTGGCCGTGCTCCCTCTCTGCTGCCAAGAGGGAGGCAGTGGACGAGGAAGGGGTGAGTTGAGGGGGGGTGATGGTCGTGGGGGTGGGGTGCCGCGACAAGGCGTGCATGGGACTGGACGTGCTCGTGACTTCGCGAGAGGTGACGTTGCTCGGGCGGGGCTTCCAGATGAAGTGCTGAGCTATCAAATCGGCCTGCAACAAGCAACACAAACGCAGACGACCCTCATGTCAGCAGTCAGCAGCAGTCACTCATTCGTCATGTTAACACTGTTGCCGTACGTACCAGCCATGCGAAGAGACACGAGGTCAGCGCCTTGGTGAGCAGCGCGTGTGTTTCCAGGCTGGCATGATAGGCCGCCACAGCGCCCAGAAGGTCCTCTACTATGGTCGGAAAGATGTTGGTCGTGAACCCGACGATAAAGCCCTGGTATACGCCATACAGAAGGCACGCGGAGACCAGAGCGGAAAAAAGGCCGTTGAACACGGTCGTCGTGGTCACGACGTGGGGCACGAGCCGCCAGTAGACGTGGAGGAAGAGCAACCTGAGACGACTCAGGCGACGGGAAGGCCTGAGAGGGTGGAGGAGCGCCTCGCGGCCGCTCACAACGAGCGTATCACCATCGGCCATTGCGTTCAAGGGGTGTTGATATCAGCCGTCGCCGATGGCCGCACTGGGCGCCGCTTTGTTGCTGAACTCCCTCTTTGCGGTGTGGGAGCGCCTCGATTGTTGTGGTCCTGAGATGCTTGGCGCCAGAGGAAAGGTTCTTCCCATTCTCCTTCCGCAAACGAATGAGCGTTAGTGCGTGGAGTGTCGTGAAAGGAGGGAGAAAAGGCAGCTAGCTTACCTCACGATTTCGTTGTGCGAAGGTGAGGCGGGTGCACCTTAAGGGTCGTGGGTAGCTGGGCAAGGCAGAAATCTGTCTTTCTGGGTCGGATCTGTGTCTGTCTGTGGCTGCCCTCTTGATTTGAGCAGAGTGTCTGGTGGTCGTGTCGTGGTTCGTGATGTTTCGTGGCGTCAACAAGAAGATCGCCAAGGCCAAGGGCGACGCCCCGCCGACCGAGCTGGAGGAGGAGGTGGCCAAGGCGCTCTTTGACATCGAAGTCAGCCAGACGTCAGAGATCAAGGCCGATCTCCACGACATACAAATCACATCCGCAAAGGAGGTTGGTATACACACAGCACAGGCAGGCCACGGACAGACACACAGGGGGGATCACATGATCGAACGGGGTGTGTGGGTGTGCGTGTGTGGTGTGTCTGTCGTGTGTGCAGGTTGAGGTGAAGCCGGGTCGGACGGCCATCATCATCTTCTTCCCCTACCGTGTCTGGAAGAACGTCAAGAGGATCCAGGTGTGTGTGTGTGTGGAATGTCCACCATGCAAAGGTCCTGATGCCTGCCTGTTGGTTTTGTTTGGTCCGATCGTTGATCAGAGTCGTTTGATTCACGAGTTGGAGAAGAAGTTTGGTCGGCGCCATGTGGTCCTCGTGGCACAGCGCACCATGATGAAGCGAGCCACCAAGGGCATGAAGGCAAGCACCCCCACACACACGACAAGGGAGAGGAGGGCACTCACTCGTGTTTTGCCGGTCTGTGTCTGAACGTGTCTGTCGTACAGATCCGTCCCCGGAGCCGCACGTTGACAGCGGTGCACCAGGCCCTGCTCGAGGACGTTGTGGGCCCCACCGAGATCGTCGGCAAGCGCACACGAATCAAGGCCGAGGGAGGCACCATCATCAAAGTGTACGCCAAACGCACAGCACCGCACACACCAGGCCAGCTGGCTGCGCAACGAATGAATGAAATGTATGTGTGTGTGTGTGTGTGTGTGGTTGTTGCAGTCACCTTGACCCGAAGGACAAGGAGAAGGACAACATTGAGGAGAAGCTTCAGACCTTCTCGTCCGTCTACAAGACTCTCACCGGCAAGGAGGCCGTCTTCACATTCCCAGAACACGTCTACTGATTCCAATCCACCCATCCTTCAATCGATGGATGGCCGGTTGGCTGGCTGGCTGCTTGGCCGCCGTCTGGCCAGTGGACGGGGGGACGGCCGGTGTTGTCGATGTGATGACTGGTGGTCTGTGGGCTATGGGATGTGTGTGCATGTGTGGTGAGTGAGTGGCTCTTTTGAGATGGAAGAACTTCGTAAACCCGCTGCTGCGTGTCTTGTGAATGATCAATGAATGATTCCGCTTTGTTTGTGTGGCTCTGGCCGGAATTATCCGTCCGTATCTGTCATGTAGGCAGCGCCCTGCACAGCACATTCATTACATACAAGCTAGCTTTGCAGGACTAGGTAGATATAAAATGTAGACAGCGATCGTCTGCTCCGCACTGCAGTCACTGATAGCTCAATCGCATAGGCAGACAGCAGAGACTCAGCCAGCCACAGTACAGTCAGAGACATGCATGGCAAGCAGACCAACCAACACGAAGATGTGTGGGCACGCCACCGTCCGTCCCCGCACTACCACACACTCACGTGCAGTGCATCCGATATCTGTATGCCCTCCCGCAGCGCAGCCCACGACAGCCAAACAAACCGGACACAGACGCACATGACACAGTGCATTTCTCTGATCATTTTTCTCACATGGCAGCAGCGACCACCTGTCTCATGTGATCTCCTTCCACACCACGCTCGTCCTTGTCGAGATGATGCACCACCTGAGACCACAAACGACAGACACAGTCGATTGATCGGTATGGGCGAGTGTTCGGTTGCGGGTGTGTGTACCACTATGTGTTTGGCGATGTGCGGGTAGCCGGCCGTCATCGCTACACCGTCCAGGTCGAACTCGCCCTGCTCGAACTTGAGCGTCGCCAGCTTCCCAGCGAGGCCGTGATCAGCCTCCCTCGGCGGCACGACCACGTGCACGTGCTCGGCTAACCCACTGTCACTGACTACCTGCACACACACAAAAACAGCATTCGTTGAACACATGAGAGAGCAGGTGCATGTGCATGCGATGCTCACCTCAGCGAGGGGACCGCCGCCTTTTGTGCTGCCACACGCCACTTGCCGCAGTGCTTCGTGTGGCTCAGGCGGTTCATCTTCGGGCCGGTACCGGGGTAAAGCCACTGCACAGATCAAGGCCATGACAGGACAAGACAATGCGATTCGGCGCTCACCACTTCAGGGTCGTCTTAATTGACTTGCCGAGCCGCCCTTTCCAGCCGAGTGCAGCAGGGGCGGCGGAAGGCAGCGGCATTCGTCATGCCCGTCTTCGGCTGCTTTCTTGAACATCTGCGGCATCATCTTGTCTCTTCAACTGGACACGGGCGGCGACAGCGGTGACCTTTGAATCAGCTTTGGCAGGAAGGGAAAAGTTCCTCTTCAGTGCAAAGTACACGTTGCAAACCTTCCGTGAGATCAGCTGCAAGTCAGCTGCAAGTCAGCTGTCTGTCTGCTGCTCTTGAAGAGAAAGAACACAGCAGCAACATTGTTTGACAGCGTTTCCCCTTCCCTCTCATTCATTTCCCCTTTCCTCTCCTTCTCACCTACCTACTTGTGCAGCGGCGGCCTCCTCCGCGTGCTGCTGGGTTGGCCGGCGGGCTCCTGTGGACACATTCACGACAGAAGCAGAGAGAGGCAGTCGGGTACATACGGTGTGTGTCGTGTAAGTCTGTGTTTGAAGAACAACTTCACTTGGTGGTCTCAGTGTGTTCCCTCGGTCACCTCAGCAGCTTTCGCCGTGTCTTCTCGGGGATGAGGCTGGCGGCCAGAAAGACGACGCCGCCCAACGCCAGCTCACCAACAATCAGGGCTGCATGCTGCACGTTGCTCTCGTACTCATTCATCTCCGCGCGCTGGTCTCTGCACATCCACTCAGAAATTCTTTCGACTGCTGCTGGTGCTGCGACGCGCTCTGCTCTCTCCTCCAGCACTTCTCATCTTCGGTTTGTTGGAGAAAATCTCTTTTCCAGTTTTACCCTCTGTACCCTAAATCGCCGTCTCGATTCTCGACCGGAAGACAAATGCTCTGACTGCAAAGCGCTCTCGCCAGGCTACAGGGAACTGTGCGTGCGCTGATCTTCGCTGATCTTGTCAATCCTTAGTGGAGGGAGTTGCTGGTGAAGATCAAGAGGTCAGATGGTGCGCACACAATGGACAGGACAGACAGGCACGCAGACATGACATGCAGTGGATGCACTCATTCATCCAGTCAGTCCATTCATTTCTTCTTCTTCTTCTTCTTCTTCTTCTTCTTCTCGTTTCCTTGCCTTCCTGCCTTGCCTTGTGCGTCTGTTTCTTCCTTTGTGTGTGTGTTGTCTTTCAGCACACGATACGATGGACGCCACAGTGCGCGGTCTGCTGATTACGTCTGGTGTGGACATCCTGTGGTTCGCCGTCTGCTTCACCGTCTTCGTCCTCTTCCGCTCACTCAGAGGCGACCGACAAAAGGGCGCACCACTCCTCACCCAAACCCCAGGGCCGTCAGGCGAGAGTGCGCCGGCTCCCCTGCCCCGCCACGGTGCACCCTCGTGGCCGCTGTCCTTCAGCATAGCGAGTGAGAAGGGGACGGAGGAGGACGAGGGCCACTTCGACTGGTGGCACCGGCTGTTCCAGATCGATGACGACCTCTTCTACAGCACCGACGTGCAGACCTACCTCGGCTTCCTCAAGTGCAGCTGTCGGCTTCTGTGCATATGTGAGTTGGGTTGGAGGGTCGGTGGGTGAGGGGGATTGGCGGGAAGGGCTGGAAATCGCTCATTCATTTGCGTGGTGTGGGTGTGGTGATGGATGTGTGGTGTCAATCAATCAGTGAGTTTGGTTGGGCTGGTGGTGGTGTTGCCAGTGAATTGGACGGCCAAGCCTTTGACGGACGAGAATCTCGAGACGCCCCTCGACCGGGCCAGCGCGCAAAACATACCACCGGGGTCATATCGATTCTGGATACTCTACGTACGTACGTCAACAGCGCTTATGCATCGCATTTGGATGTGATGTGATGGATTGAGTGAGGTCCTTTCCAAATGTCTGCCTGTGTGTGTGTGTGTGTGTGTTGCGCTTCAGGGTGTGACGTGGCTGTATTCGGTGCTGACGTACTTGTTCATCTACCAGTAAGCCACACACCACACACGGTGCGATGCGCAATAGGCCACACGCCGCTGTGTATGTCTGTCTGTTGTGTGAAGGTACCGGGCGATGATCACCGACCCCGACGTGCCTATCCGACAGATGTTCAACCCCACCAAATACACCGTCAGTCAGTCAGCCATCAGATCAGCCAGCCAATCACGTGACTGACCAACACACTCATCCCATCCCCTCTGCTGTCGCGTGTCATCTTGTTCAGCTGCTGGTGCGGGGCATCCATCGTGACAACATCGATGCCAACATTCTCTACTCGCACTTCAGGAAATTTCACAAAGGTATGCATGCTATGGGCTGTGGCAGGATGGATGGATGGATGTGTGTGGTCAGATCGTGTGGTGACGGCCCATCTGGTCATGAACTACTCCCGCGCCATCGAGGCGGAACACGACCTAAAATGGGCGCAAAACAAACTCGAGAGAACCAGGGTCAGTGCGACAGACATACAGACACACACAAAACAAAGACAGGCGACTGACTCATCGAGTGTCCATCTGTCTGGTGTTCAGATCCAGAACGCCCAGAGGCAGCGTGAGGAGCAGCCCGAGCTGAGCGTGCGTCCCTTTTGGCAGTGCTTCAGGCGAGTGCCGGCGGTGCGGTATTGGCAGGAGGAAGTCCACTACAGGGCCAAACTGCTCGAGAAAATATATGTGCAGGGCCCCACTAAGGTAGGTAGGTGTGGGTGGTACCCAACACTCCCACATCCATCCATCCATCCATGCTGTCTGGTGTCTCTCTGTGCATGTGCATGTGCATGTGTGTGTGTGTGTGTGTGTAGGGTGCCGGTTTAGGTTTTGTGTCGTTCACGTCGCCCGACTGCGTGTCCGACAGCCTGGCCGACCCGCGTGTGGTCGGCCATCACTACGACTGGTCTGTGCTGCCGGCTCCGCCCCCGCAGGACATCATATGGGAGAACATCCACCTCTCGGACGGCCACAGACTCACCTGCAAACTCGTCCTCAATTTCCTTCTCTTTGTCTTCTCCGTCTTCATCGGTATGTGTGTGATGTGCGAAACAAAGGAGAGGAACGGAGAGCATTGCATTGCATTGCATTGCATGAGGTTCGTGTGTTGTGTGTGTTCGTTCTGTGTGTGCAGTGTCGCCTGTGCTAGTGCTGAACGCGCTGAATCCGCTGCTGCAGGACCTCAAGTCAGCTCTGCAGGAGAGCAACTTCTTCCGGCTGTTCCTCACGGCGTACCTGCCACCGCTCATTCTGTATGTCGTCAACTCGCTCCTGCTGCCCACGCTGGTCTACGGGGTGGCTGTGTCGTCCGGCCACTGGCGCAAGTCGGCCTGTCAGGCGTCTGTGCTGCACGGCAACATTATCTTCCTCATCCTCAACTCGCTCATACTCCCACTGATGTCTGTCCAGGTGAAGCCAGACAGAGAGAGAGAGGCCATCAATGCGTGTGTCACATGGGTGCCGATCTCGATGAGCGCGTGTGTGATTGTCAGTCGATATCGGCGGTGTTGGAGCAGATCTACCAGACGCAGATACAGCAATGGAACATCACTTTCGGCACACTCGTGCTCTCCTCATCGGGTGGGTCGACATGGCACACACGTCTGTCTCGTCACACATGTGTGTGTCTATGTGGCCGTCAGGTTCGTTTGCCATTCGCTACCTGATCAACACGTGTTTCCTCACGACAGCAGCGCAACTGCTCCAGCTGCCACAAGTCTCCTACCGCACGTAGATCAACCACACACCCCACCACACACACACATACAGAGGGAGATATATTCCTCTTGTCCCTTGCCTGTGGGTGGTCAGTGCGCGCAAAGCTGTTGCTGTGAGCGAGTCTGAGATCAAGAGCACCGAGGAGAAATGGGCCTTTGACTTTGGGTGCGTCCGTGAGAGCGTGGCGCATGGACACGGGCACGCGTGAGTGTGTCGTGTGTGTGTGTGTGTGTGTGTGTCAGGTATTGGTACGCTTTTTCGTTGTCCGTGTTGACGATTGTGTTGTGTTTCTCGGTGGCGGTGCCCTTCCTGGTGCCGTTGGGTGCGCTCTACTTCGCAATGAAATACCTCGTCGACAAGTACAACTTCACCTACAACGTCTACAAGGTACGCTAGCACACACACACGAGCGTGACGTGACTGACCTTGATTGGTGTTTGTTGTGTGTAGGTTGAGCTTGAGAGTGGGGGCGTGGTGGCCCACACCGTACTCAGCTACATGATCTTCGCATGCGCATTCCTCCAGGCAGACACCCAACACCACACACACTGTCACACACCCACACACCCATATATCCCCATGTGCCCCATGTGTCCCGGCCCTTCCTCCTTCCCTGCCTGTGTTGTGTGCATGTCTTCAGTTTTCGATGTCGGGTTTCTTCGTAATCCACGGCTCCAAGGGCCTCACGCTTGGCGGGTGCATCCTCTTCATCGTGTCGGCCACCACGTTCGGGCTGCTGGCCTTCCAGGGCACCGACCGACTCTTCTCATGGCCGACGGCGGCAAGCATGGGCAAAACTTCACCTGCCGCAGAACCTACGGTGTGCTGCAGTTGTCCGTCAGCCATCACTATATGCTTGCATGTGATTCATTCATGTCTCTCCCCTGCCCTTGTTGTGTGTGTCACTCACGATATATCAGTCTGACGACAGCGACCGTCTGGGTGCGGATTATGTCGAGGCTCTCAAACAGGCCTACCTGCACCCATGCGAGATCGCCAGGCAGCAGCCGAGGCGGCACGGACTCCCTTCCAGCACCATCACCTCAACAGACAGGGACCCCTCACCACAAAGATTCCTGTCACCCCCCGCACCACGATCGGTCGGCGGCCAACGCTCTGCGCAATCACCGTCGCCATCGCCGCCAATGTCCAGTCCGGGGGTCGTCAACAACAGCAAGAATCGGCGGCCGAGGTTCCTGAACGACGACGACACCAATGGCCTTTCTTTGAGTATCACCCCTACTGGACCGTACGGGCCAGAAATGTCTGATGAGGCGGCGCTGTCCAATGACAACAGGGGGAAGAGAGGGGGAGGGGCACACCCGGGTTAATTGAGT